AGATCAGATGTTCCTTCTCCAGCAACTGGGGGCTTTTTGAGGTATTTCTCAAGTGCAGCTGGAAAATTATAGGGTAGATATTAGCACATTACAAGCAAAAACATGTATATACAGTCAGGCAAAAATAACTGCTGCAATCTGCCTCAGCTGTATGCAAGTTCACAACTGGCCTATATAAAAGTTAGGTCTGGACTTTGAATCAGGGGGTAGCAAGTTTGAGTCCCACTGCAGTCAGCATGTCGTTGTGTCCCTGGGCAAGACACTTCACCCCAAATTGCTCCTGTGGGGATTGTCCACAGTACTGAATGTATGTAAGTCGCTTTGGATAAAAGCGTCTAACCAATTACATGTAATGTAAATAATAACACATGCCCATATTGGTTGGTCAGCCTCACTTTATACAAAGGAGCAGTTATCCAGATAGCTTTCTTCTGGCTAACATTCACATTTAATTGAAGCATCAGACTAAAAAAGCTTTTGAAAATAATATTATATTTTGATTTAAGTCAAAATATAATATTTGTAAACCTGAAGAGTCAGTGCCAGTGCCTCACCAGCCATGAACCTCACTGCAGAAGCTTATATTATATATATATAGACATCTGAGTTTTTTGTGCCCCACCACTTTTGTACATATAGAAACGCCACTGAATAGGAAAGCATCCAACCGGAAAGTGTATACACTGCAGCCAGCCAGAAACTGTTGAGCATGTTTTACTGCTTTGCAGGAAATATAGTACTCAGATAAATGTGCTTTTCCAGACACTGAAGAAAGCAAAATTCCATGACTTGTCGCTATCAGGGCTGTTAGGGAAAACATTAGGCAATATATATTGTGAGATTATTAAATTAGGAAATTGATACATTTAAAATAATCTAGAGTTTTGGTTCTTTGTTTTGTTTTGTTTCTTTTGTTTATTGTTTTCTGCTTAGTCTCTTGTCCACACTCCAGTCCAGTTGGTGGCGATAATGCACTTACAAGTTGGTTTGCCAACCGCCAATAAACACGAAAGTAGAAGAAGAAGAAGGAAGTAGAAGAAGAAGAGGTGGTGAGTGGATTAAACACACGCAGAGGTTTCATTAAGTGTATTTACACCTGTTAGCTTAGTTTACAGTTAATCACGAATCAGAAGTTATCTTATTTAACACAGCTGTAATATTGGAAGAAAGAAACTCACAAAAAAACGTTGTAATGTGCGCCAAAAATAGTCTCAAATTATCTTTAAATAAAGGCTAAAAGCTATTGGCTAACAGCTAAAGTCTAAAAGCCATCGGCTAACAGTTAAAGTCTAAAAGCCATCGGCTAACAGCTACAGTTTAAAAGCTAAAGTCTAACATGTAACGTCTAAAAGCTATCGGCTAACAGCTAACAGCTACAGTTATTATTCCAGTTCGGCTCTGGGTGAGTAACAGTTGATTTGTAAAGCTAAGCTGACTTTATTTTAGTTATTTATTACACCAGTTGTCTTTAAGACAGTTTGAGTTGTTGTGTTGGTGCTCTTTACCATATATATAGTTTTAAATATATGCTTATTAGCATCGCCATTCTGTGACGCAGCATTTTCCCCATTGAAATGAATGGGGTTCTTCAGTTAGCAGCTAACGCTAAGCTAAGCGACGGTTTAGCTCATTAGATAAATAGATATACTTTATTTAAATAATTATTTACCTTAAACTGAGAAATGATTGTGTCACAGCAGAAGTGTTTTGAGGCATTACACAAGTTAAGCATATTTAAAAGATACAATAAGATATAATAAAAATGAAGCATTAGCAGCAAGTTTACACACACATTTACACACATATCACTAGAGTATCTAAAGAATACACAATATACAGAAAATACTGTATACATGGAGTACATTAAACAGTCTTACTTGCTAATGTTTGCTTTCTGTGTTAACTTAGTGATAGTTAATGACACAGATGGCGTTATAACCGTGGTTCAAACAACCGTTAATGTCACTTTCTATGTGAATAAAGTCATTTTAATGAAACAAAAGTGAACAAACTGAGCTGTAAGTTAGAATGTAAGTTGCTACACAGATTATGATGAATTATATCTAAATATTTGTATTGTATTAATAATCATTTACACAGAAAACCAACTTGTTATCGTAATGGTTAAAGTCATTTGCATGTAATGTTAATAACTATCTGACCTTTCTATCATTTTCTCCTCTGCTTAACATCACATTGACTAAATGGATCAATTTGGAACATGTTTACGTCACAGCAGCATAGATGAGACAAGGCACTGCACATGATGTGATAAAACACTAAATATAAACATCTAGAAATAGAACATATCATTGAATAAACTCTTTGAATTCCTCCTCTTCACTCCTGACAGTTTTCCACCTGAAGCAGCTCTGTGGTCTTCATCAGGACCCAGTGTCCCCAGAGAGGACCTGAAGCAGCTCTGTGGTCTTCATCAGGACCCAGTGTCCCCAGAGAGGACCTGAAGCAGCTCTGTGGTCTTCATCAGGACCCAGTGTTCCCAGAGAGGACCTGAAGCAGCTCTGTGGTCTTCATCAGGACCCAGTGTCCCCAGAGAGGACCTGAAGCAGCTCTGTGGTCTTCATCAGGACCCAGTGTTCCCAGAGAGGACCTGAAGCAGCTCTGTGGTCTTCATCAGGACCCAGTGTTCCCAGAGAGGACCTGAAGCAGCTCTGTGGTCTTCATCAGGACCCAGTGTCCCCAGAGAGGACCTGAAGCAGCTCTGTGGTCTTCATCAGGACCCAGTGTTCCCAGAGAGGACCTGAAGTAGCTCTGTGGTCTTCATCAGGACCCAGTGTTCCCAGAGAGGTCCTGAAGCAGCTCTGTGGTCTTCATCAGGACCCAGTGTCCCCAGAGAGGTCCTGAAGCAGCTCTGTGGTCTTCATCAGGACCCAGTGTTCCCAGAGAGGTCCTGAAGCAGCTCTGTTGTCTTCTCAGTGTTTCCAGCTTAAAAGAAGCTTTATGAATGCAGCCCCAGGTAAGTGTGTGTGTGTGATACCTTAATAATTACTTTCTCTAACATTATTTATCCCACAGTATATTCATAAGTTACATGCATACGGTTTAGTTTGAGTAAACGCTCCCCTTTTACCTTCAGCATATTGTTTTAGTACGGTAACTCTTCTTTATTACCGTTAGCATACTGGTTTCTGTTGGGTAACTCCTTTATGTTACAGGATGAATCCTCAGTTTATTGACTTGTTGTTTCTAGTCTCCTCCTGACTTACTGAGTCCTGGAGCTGTGAGTTTCTCCTCTTCAGTGAAGCAGCTTTATTGCTGTCTCCTATTATTGCAGACAAAGTAGCATTACATGGAAATATTCAAGTAAAGTAAAAGTACCTCTAAATAGTACTTAAGTACAGCACTTGAGTAAATGTACTTAGTTACTTCTCACCTCTGCTATGAACCTACGAAGTAGCTGTAGATTAGTTTTGTTGTGTCTGTCGGTTGTATTGATTTGTCTTGTTTTGTGTCAGCTGTAGTTGTGTTGATTATTTCAGAGACCCATCCGGAGAAGGAGAACTGAGAGCAGCATGGAGGAGAACAAAGAGACCCCTGGAGCTCAGGTCAGTGTGCACTTCATCACAATATATTCCTAATTCCAGCGTTTCCGCCAGGCGGGCGTCTTGCCGTCATTTGACGCCCTTATTCAGCTCGGAACGCCCTGGACTCGAGCCGAGGGCGTCCAAAAGGATTTTTATCGCTTGAAATTACGAAAAAGGAGAAGGACATCCCTCTGTTGGAGGGGCAAAGGAGTCTGGTGGGATTATTTTCACCGCCAGCAAAGCGTGTTCCTGTGCTAGTGGAGCACGCGCGTGAACTGCGAGCGCCGGAGCCTCGCAGCGGTGAAACTGAGGCTCTGGTAAACTGTGGTAACATGAAGAGCCGTTTGGGAGACGAAAGAGCCGGCTCTTCTTATAGGCCATAAGGTGAACCCTGTTATCGTTTCAACCCGCTCCACAGAAGTGAAACTACACAATCTTTAGTTCATAAAAAAGAACGAGTCATGCTTATCCACCAAAAAAAATATCGTCGCTAAAATTCCTGCCAATTCTTCTAGGCACGTAATTATTGGCTGAACTAGTCCCTTCGAAGCGTAATAATATCTTGGTCCAAAGTCGTGCCACGGTTCGTCACGTGATCGTGCTACACCAATTGGGTAGCTGCATATTGTCAACAGAAGTGAAAGATGGCGGCCGCCATGGTTACGCTAAACCAGACCAAATGGATTCTAAACAGTGCTGTATGCTTGTTTTATGTCATGTTTTGTCATATGTCTTAATACATCACTAAGTCCGAGGTATTTGCGTTATATACGCGGTATTTGTGAGAGGTTTTACTATCTGGGAACAGAGTTGACCATCGAATCAACATTGACTAGCAGCGTTTATCAGCCAACTCCAGCTACAAACAATTTCCCCACGGGGATTAATAAAGTATATCAAACTCATATTTATCAAACTATCATTCCTGGACTGCCATGTTCACATCGCTAGGTTCATTGGGATTATTCCATTAGACTGAGGACTTTTTGTCTGTCTGTTGTTACCCTGTACACGTTAAATGCACTCTTAAAATAAACATGACTTGATTTCTGCGTCCAAGAAGAAGGTTAACTTGTTACGTTAAGTAATTTAGATCAATAAAATGCAGTACTTCCAGGCTGAAGACTTTTCTTTTTGTTGCTGCTTTTAATTGAACTATTCATATCTTAGACTGCACTGTAACTTTTATCCATGTATTTTTTCTTTTAATGTTTCTTTTATTAGCTTTTCTTTTTAATGCCTGATTTTAAATGCCATTTTCTTAATGTCTTTCATTTTTTGTAAAACACTTTGAATTGCCTTGTGTTGAAAAGTGCTATATAAATAAACTTGCCTTGCCTTACTTATACCAATGTCCATTGATTCATTTATTTACTCATTCATCCCTCCACAAATGAAAACAACACTGATGAACCATAAAAACGAGATTTATTACAAATATAAAAGGTATGACATAGAAAACAGTAGAAGGACATGTAATGTAGTATAATTGATTGGTGTCAGGCTGGGCGGAGCGGCTGATTGGTGCTGTGATTGCCTCAGCTGGTTAAAAGAGTCCTGCTGATTATACTCTGTTCTAGTACCAAAAACAAACGTATCTATGAGTGATGTGACACTTCTACTAGTGTCAGTTGGGCAAGGCTAGTGTCTAGACTCAAAACTGTGTCCCATGATGCACAATGTCCCAGTCTGTTAAGCAGTGATACAATGCGTGATGATCCAGTTAAATGTCGAACAGTTAAACCTAAAGCCAAGGACTTGGGTGTCTGCTTGCGGCCCTTGGAAGCAAGGTACACAATGTCTTGACAAACAGACAACACTTTCAAATGTACGTCATCATCAATGTTGACATAATGATCCAGTGTTGGCTCCTCAGTGGAACCTATAATCCAGCTGAGCAGATTGTATAGTCCAATGGGGACAACAGTTTGAGATTCAGTGACATTTACATTTTCAGAAGTGGGAGGCCATGGGCATGACATGCCAGGAGTGTCACTAAGCAGTCTTTTCAAAAACAACGCTGCTGTATACAGTGTCCTTGTGTCCTCATGTGTTGTTTGGCACTTTGTTCTCCCTGTTTCATTGTCGCTGTCTGTCTGGCTCAATTCACTGGACTGTGTTGTTTCCGTACCGGATGGATCTGGTAGCATGTCCACGAGTGCATCCTTTGACAGAGTCTCAGCAAAAACCAGTTCGCAGACGTTGCGCTTGGTGGGCATGTGAAACGCTAGCTGAGGGAAATCTTGAGCCAGCCTCTTCTTCAACAGATCCTGTCTGTAACACAACAAAACAGTGACAATTACGAGTCACAGGAGTACCATCAAAAGCAGAGTGGTGGAGGTGATACAAGACATTACAGACTAGAACCTATCTGCCATACAGCACATTTAACACCAAAGAAGCCAAATAAAGGCCCACATCATCACAAACAACACTACACACTACACATCATGGGGGTTTCTCCAAACAGGCCTGTCATACACATTTTGTTTAAAGCTGGCCTTGCACATGATAAATAATAAGACTTGTATTACATTGCAGTTACCTGTAGTTTGAAGCATCAACACCTTCGTTTGCTTTCACCATGTCAATGAAGGCCTTCCTCAGCTGGCCCATTCTAAGCACCTCATTGTTGACAAGCAGCCTCTGGCGGATGATCCTCTCACAGAACAGCTTGTAACTGGCATCAAACATTGCCTCATCCCTACAACACATGAATGAGAAGTAAATAAATGGATAAATGAATAAGTGTTGTGATTGTGTGCACATATAACAGAAGGAAATTGGATGTTTACTTATAATGTTAAGTATGTGTATGTGTATATATATATATAGCCATCGCCGACACACACCTGGACTTCAGTCTGGTGGTAGTGCAAATAGGTAAAGCAATCCAAGGAGAAATAACTTACTGTTCTGTCTCTGGTTTGTCAGGTCTCAGCAAAAACATGGTGTACTGACTGTAACAGCTTTTGTGGTACCGCACCTCCAGAGCCACACAGTCTTTGTCTTTTATATGTAAAAGAACACTTTGGTCATCTTTCTTCTCAGCAGCTTTCTGCAATTTGACTAAACGGAAAAAAAGGACAACTCAATGAGTTTGTTGACGTATCTCTCACACATAATTGTACCTTTCAGTTATTCAACCACAGAGAATGTGTGTGTGTGTGTGTGTGTGTGTGTGTGTGTGTGTGTGTGTGTGTGTGTGTGTGTGTGTGTGTGTGTGTGTGTGTGTGTGTGTGTGTGTGTGTGTGTGTGTGTGTGTGTGTGTGTGTGTGTGTGTGTGTGTGTGTGTGTGTGTGTGTGTGTGTGTGTGTGTGTGTGTGTGTGTGTGTGTGTGTGTGTGTGGGGGAGGGGGTTTGCTTACCTGCTTTTAATGTTTCAGCCTTACACAGTTGATCCCTTTGTCGCTTGCCTGCTTTGATGATCATTTTCTCCTTCATCTTGCATATAATGCACAGGGCAGGAAGGACGGGGCCAGAGCCTGCGATTGGCAGGCCTGACCTTGATCGTAGCTTCTCTGTTTGGCTTCGGTACGTGCTGCGAGACGTCGATGGGATGGGCTCGACCTCAAGGTCCTCCCTAACGTCTTGATCTCCCTCACGTGCGAGCCGTCTTTCCACCTTCGTCATGGCCTTTGTGTCGGTAAACCTTATGTAGCATGTGTGGTGGAAGCCAGCGTCCTCAGGAATATCTTCGAACTCGAAATCAAGACAGTGCTTGTGGTTTTCAGCCACCACGTTCCGAGAGTCTCCCTTCAAGCCGAGCGACCGTTGTAAGCTTGTCCTGTACGTATTCCATCTTGTATTGGTAAAACAATCAACCTTTTCGTGCTTCACAGACGTAATATGCATGTAACAATGTTTGTGTGTTGACAATTTTGACTTTTTGAGACTTTCTGGTGCGTTTTCCTCGTCTCTGCTACTCGATGAAACCATGGCGGCCGCCATCTTTCACTTCTGTTGACAATATGCAGCTACCCAATTGGTGTAGCACGATCACGTGATGAACCGTGGCACGACTTTGGACCAAGATATTATTACGCTTCGAAGGGAATAGTTCAGCCAATAATTACGTGCCTAGAAGAATTGGCAGGAATTTTAGCGACGAAATTTTTTTTGGTGGATAAGCATGAATCGTTCTTTTTTATGAACTAAAGATTGTGTAGTTTCACTTCTGTGGAGCGGGATTTCTTTTCTAAAGGACTTTTCGAGGTTCACCTTGCGGCCTATTAGTGAGCTGAGCCAAATGATCCGACTCACTAAAAAGAGCCGGGATTCCCATCACTAATACGTAAAGAAATAGTATCTGTAGTGGCTATTTGTCAACAACAATACAACTTCAAAAGGCCACTGAGGCACCAGGTATAGTGGATCTTACGCAGATCATGAGTTGGTAATGAGTCCATTGTCCAGACAAGGCATCGACGTTTTTGTGGTATTTATTAGCTTCACCTTGGCAAGATCAATACAGCAAAAGGTGTTGAAATGTTTGCTGAACTCAGCCCTGATACTGGTAAAAAACCATAGACCTTCCCGGTGCCCACTGACTGCTGCTGTGCCCTGATTGACTTAAATAAACCCAGCTGTGTGCCCAAATTGACCCATCACCTTCAAAATAAAAGCATTTTAGCTGGAACACAACTTAACTCAAATAATATGGTTGTAAATTAATTCTACAAAACAAAATATAACAAATAAATACATTAAATAAATGTGAAAAATACTGAATAGCTTCCACAGTATCTATAAGCGACGGCTCAATTCAAAATTCAAGTCCAGGGTTTCCCTCACATAGACTTTACCCATTCTTTATTATTTTTGTATCCGTCCGTGAGCACGACGCCATCTGCAATCGATTTACTAGTGGACAATGATCCCTCGCTTGCTGTACCTGTTCGCTCTGCTATCGCGTGGAGGGTCTGCTAACAAGCAGCCAACAGAAAGGTTCATGTTAATGTTGTTGCACCTCACGAATGCCTAACACTGTTATCCCCAAATGAAAGATCACAACCTGTTTGAAATATACAATATGAATGCACAATATGGTTAGATAGAGGTTAGAACGTTGTTGTCTACGATACGATTCTTTAATTGTCAGATCAAGTCTGAAATGTGACTTGCATCACAGCAGCTCCATGTGTAACATCAACATAGACACATAAGACAAACACAATACATGAGAAACTAACATGTAACATAACAGCAGGATCAGTGAGAGCTGCTCAAAGAGCCTTCAGCGTGCATCTGATCTGTAGCTCTGTGTTCACTGAGAGGACTGACTGGAGCACAAAGGATGCCTCAGTCTGACTTTAGTGAATCTCCATTAGATGGTAGCAGTTCAGATTCTCTGTTAGAGCATGCTTTGGGTCCCAGATGATGCTGTTCGACAGCCTCTCAGGTTATCATGGTCTGTGAGTCAGAAAGTCTCTGACAGGGTGACCAACAATCTTTGAGCAGATTTCTAACAGGTGGAGCAGTTTTGCCGAAGTAACAACATGCTGATACCGGTTAGTAAAAACCATGAATTAATGCTTTGACAAGTCTGCAGACAGACGGCAGGCGAGAAACCTTTTTGAAATGTGTGTTTTCTGCTAACGCAGTATATGCTCCGACCGTCCACACTCACAACAACGGCCTACAGACATAAATAAACCAGTGACTGTATTCGCCATGACACAGACAGTCTGTGGTTTGTACTTGTTTAACTTGTGTCTAGTTTCTGAACAGATATGAGGAGCTGTGAGCTCTGAGTGCTAACATAACAGCAGGATCAGTGAGAGCTGCTCAAAGAGCCTTCAGCGTGCATCTGATCTGTAGCTCTGTGTTTACTGAGAGGACTGACTGGAGCACAAAGGATGCCTCAGTCTGACTTTAGTGAATCTCCATTAGATGGTAGCAGTTCAGATTCTCTGTTAGAGCATGCTTTGGGTCCCAGATGATACTGTTGGACAGCCTCTCAGGTTATTATGGTCTGTGTGATGCCCCTGTGGGTGCATCAGTAGAGAGGAGGTGTCCTGTCTGTGCTGTGGTGATTGGTGTTTGCATTGATTGCAGTTACTCAGGGCACCTGGGTCTGGGGTCCTGCAGCTATTTAGAGCCTCTCTGCTCCTCTCTGTGCTCTCTCTGCTTTTCCCTACAGGCCCCCGGTTTTGTTGAGTATATGTTGTTGTTACTTTAGTTGCTTTACTTTATGCACCTCAACACTCTCACACATACACATTCATGCAACCCTCACCCTGCATTTACACTACTGATACCACTGACGTCCACACCTCATGCCTTACTTATTGTTGCACTTCATTTAATTTGGATTGTTTCCTTTAAATAAACATATTTTGATAACCGTTGACATGGTGTGTCTCCTTTTTGTTGTGGCCTTTTGAGCCAGGTCATAACGAATGGGGGCTCGTCCTATGGGTTATTTGGTTAAAAGTTTGTGTAGTGCTCAGAGCACAAGGCGTCATTTGAGCAGCTAATTAGTTGATGTGGTCCAGCTGTGTGCTGGCTCAGCGCTGCTATTTGGGGGACACATCATGTTTTTTGGGTTTAAGGAAGCTTTAGTGTTTGACATGGCGTCAGGTTTTGTGTGCCAATCAGAAGGTAAGATGTTGCTGCTTGTTACGCTTTTGTAAAGAGTTTCCCCCGCTAGGCTTAAGTGGCGTTTCCCCTTGGGTTGCGTCTGTTTGTTTTTTTCATAGTGTTGTGGCGACATGGTTAGTGTCAGCTGTTTTCGGACAGCTGTCTCTGGGGCACATCCATGTGATTTCTTGGTGTTACCTGCGTGCAGGTCGCTCAATAAATCCACCGGGTTCCAGTAATTACCCGCCGCAAGCCACATGAAGACTAGGTGAGATTAGTAAGATTTTGGTTGGGCAGTTAGGGGGGAAATTCTCTGTTGGGTTTTGTCTTTTGCCCAGGCATGTTGACAGTTTAATACTTTGCTAGGGAGCAAGCGGAAACATGAGATTAAAGCTGTCATCGTGTCATCTTTGTTTGAGCGGGGAGTGTTGCAGAAGAGCGAGTCTGGTGCGGCAGGGGTCTTGCCAGTAGTGGTTCAGACAGCTGGTTTGACATTCGAGCAGCAAAAGGAGCTTTTGGCCATGCAGTTTGATCAGGAGAGGTTGCAGTTAGAGTTGAGGATTGAGTTGACAAAAACAGTGAAATATTAACTTAAATTCCAATTTTTTGATTTTCCACACCGAACTTAGTGCACAACAGGGTCAGACACATTACCGTAAAAATGAGCATGAGGTGTGGAAAAATGTGGCCGACATCAATCAAAACGTATTAGCAAAAAGGTGTGGCCTAGACATAAATGCTCACAATTCATCCGAAATGTATCCAAATATCACAGATTTCGGTGGATAGGTTCAGTCTGTCATGGGGAATAGGCACAAAAAAGCATGCTCATTTCGGACAATAGGGGGCGCCAAAAACACAACTAATTTATATCTCAAGAACCGATGGACGAAATAAATATATTTTTTCATAGACATACTGGCAGGGTGAGTATAAACTGTGATTTAAAGGGTCGCAACCAATGAAAAATGTGGGCGTGTCCTATTCAGTTTTTTCTCAAAATCGAAGGGTTAAAAAATGTACCGAGCCATAGGTAGGGGGAAAAATGAGTTACGGCCTTTAAACTCGGAACACATGTCACAGCCCACAACCTTTTCCAGACCGTACAAAAAAATTGTACGTTTTAGCAAATACGGCTCAGTAGTACCCCCTATTGTGCGATAGTCAAATATAGTTTCTCCGAACTACCCAAAACTTGGCACAGACATTCCTCATGGAATTGCGGACATATTTTAAAATGGCTTCCATTATCTCCGCCCCCCATAAAGTCGACCATTTTGAAAAATGTGCGTTTTATGGCCGTTTTTGCGAACTCCTCCTAGGTAAATGATCGGACAAATTCCAAACCAGGACAACATCAGCCCATATCCAATGGGATGCTAAATTGCGAATGAATAGTTCACTGCTCAAACGG